GAACTATTTTGGTAGATAAAGAACATCTTATAAAATTCTTAATTTTCCTCAAATTTCTGATTCCAATTAACCATAAGAAAATGCATCTTGGGCCCGGTTTCTAAGGGTTCTCAGTGCAAGCTCTAGAGATCAATGTTGTAAATCCTTAATTATCAATATAATTTGTCTTTGATTAGGGAACCCCAGCTAGTCATGGAAGTAAACCCTAGGAACCACAAAATTAAAGAGTTAAAGCTATTGAACGACTTCATCGTTCCTAATCTCGGGATAATTAATTATCCCTAACAGACAAAGAGCATGCTCACAATGAGTATGCTCACTTAAATGTACTGACTGAGTTAACTCGTGAGCATACTCAGCTAATAGATTTTAGTGAGCATACTCATTGAGAGCATGCTCTTTGTCTGTTAGGGTATCAGCATACAATCTAGTCTACCTCAATAATAATCAAATAAACCTCGCAAAGTAAATTCATGCTAAGCTAAAAGAAGCTCAAACAGAAGCTGTGAATTACACATCAACTTGTTTCTCTTGTCAATCACACTATGAATCCATCCGACTAGCACTTTATAATTTTATTTTTGGGAATCACTTCCTCTTTCATAAAAAGACATTAAAGTAATTACACAGATGATGATTGTGATCGTCATTAATAAAAGAATGAAAAATGTAAAAATAGAGATGAAGCATGAATCTTCTCATCGTGTTACGAGACACAAGAAATGTGCCTTCATGAATTACGAAAAAGTTGTTTTTCTAGTAAATTTTAATTTTTTTTTATAGCAAATGAGAAAAAACAACACAAATAAAAATCGACAGACATAAAACACGCCACAATGAATTGATGATGACCGTAAAGTATTTTAATTCGATATCATCTTTTTAGTTGAAATGGAAACTGTTTTAAGGTCTCGAATAATTCTCAAGCATAAGATTAATTCATAATTGTATATCATGGACGATATGTGTGTATTGTGCATACAGCTGTGACCTTGCTTTCGATTGTTGATTTCATCCGAGCCTGTAATCGTCTGTTTATGTCTAGAATCGGCAATTTACGAACTCAATGGAACTTGAGAGATCTTGAAAAATATTTTCGCAAACATGAGTCATCGAAAGATGATTTTTTTATTAGAGGAACAAGACGCCAGATTCAAACAATTATCAGAATAAAAAATTTTTAAAATTAAAGGAAGTGCCAAAACATGTGAAGAAGAGCTTGTTGTCGGTTATAAAAAGAATTTAATTGCGATATGAACTTTTGCACGTCGTTCAATAATCTGTGTGAAAAAGCAATTAGTATCGCCAAATATGTTAGTAACCGCACATGTTGAAAATGAGTTCTAGCGTCTCATAGAAAAATGGCAGCATGAAAAAACTTTTCGATTAAGTTTCGCTCTAAATTTTTCTATGCTTTGCTTTGCTTATGCGTCAAACATTACAAAAAAGATCAAAAAAAGCCACAGAAATGACAGTTGAAGTTTTCATAGCTGCTCATGTTGCTGAAAAGGCTCAGTGAAGTTCAAACAACTTTGTCATGGTTGATCATACAAGACATTTAAATTTAAATTAGTACCGAAAATATTCCACTACAAACTAGATGCAGCATACCTTAATTAAAAAGTTTTCACTCGCACTGCTAACAAGTGAGAGTTGAAGCGATGCTGCATGAAATTAATATGTGAACTAATGGACATTTAATATCTTTACGACTCGAGCATTAAAAATAAATAAATTTTCCGCATCATCAAAACAGTCACAGAAGTTGCGACGTCAGGTGCTGATTGCTCTAAATTTATTTTGAAAAATTGAAGTCAATGCACCCACACAGGCAGTCACAGTTAAGTATGCAGTCGTAAATTTTAAATTATCACAATTTATGTCATTTATGTCACTCGACAAACTCAAAAATTCATTCAATAAAGTTTTTCATAATTGTGTGAATCTCACATAAGTCAGCAATAAGTTCCGTAAGAAATAAAAAGCTATCAGCACCAGTAAATGCCACAATTCATAGAGACAAAAAGTGAAGGCAAAAAAAAATCATAAGTGGGCAATAAAATTTCCGTTTTAGGCTTTTAAGGCAGCAATGCGAGACATAAAGGCAATAATATTTATTGGAGGAGTGAGCTGTGATTGCATTAAATTTATTTGCAAGAGATCTGCACAGTCAACACACTCTACAAAGCGATTTTTGTCGTCATCATCACAATAATAAATTGGTTGATGTCGCGTGTTGGATGATGACGATGATGATTGTTGTTTGTTGTGTCTGTGGGTGCTGCAAAATACTGATCTATCAATTCATCCTCTGAGGTGCTTATTTTTATGAATGAGAAATAAATTATTAATTGGAGTCTTGGGAAGGTTGGTGGATTTATCACACGGAATTCATCTCAATTTTGATTGAGTTTTTATGATTTTGGCTTTAATTGATTGAAATATTTTTTTTGGGTGGATTTTTAAAGTTCTGAATTTGATTTTGATTGTTGTGAATTCATCTTTGATCTCTAGAACCAGGAATTTAGCTAGAAACGTATTTTAAGCCTCGGATCTTCTTAGTATCTCAAAAATGCCACATTTCCCTTGAAAATTGCTTGCTTAATTCATTGAAAGTTAACAAAATTATTGAATCTCTCTTAAAAGTCTATAAACCTCCGAACGAATCATATTTGATCAAATTTTACAACTCTGACCCCAAAAAAACTGCGCTATTGTAATCGAAATGCAAACACCTTAAATGTTCATAAACGACACTATTAATCGTATGTCGAAAGACAAATTTTATAGCACATTATAAGAATATGTAGGCATTCATATCTAGGAATGAAGAAGAAAAAAGAGAGTAGGAGATATGGAATGACACAGAAACAGTTGCGAGACCGAGTCAATAACTGAAGAAATGTTTTACTTCTTATCAGCAACTAGAAATGAGTTTAGAATAAATGACTAAATGAAAAAATAAACAATGGATATGAAAAGAAAATTATTATCAGCAGTTTTGAGGCTTAAAATAGGAATTAGCGATGACTCATGTGTTGTGAATGAACAGAACAAGAAAGAAACTTGAATGAAATAAAAGAGAAGAAAAAAAAGGCACAAAGATGTTCAATTTTATTCATTTTTAGACTCTCACGATTTTATTTGCTGGAATTCCTTCACATACAAGTCGAACATCAGCAATCTGTTGCTGTTAATGTCAAATATTCTCTTTTGATTGTTTCGTGTGCTTTTTTCGGGTTCACATGTGTTTATCAATTAACTTCCACTGCAAAATTTCACTTCCACAGTGTGCCAACAGAACTTTTTGCATTTGTTTGAGACTTATGCAGCAGATGATCGCCATAACAAGTACACAACCAACCACAAAACTGATTGGCATACACCAAAAAATATTCATGTCGAAAGTCAAAAGAGACACCGAAAGAGGAAGGAAGAGAAACATGAAAGAACATTCCACAGCAACAAATTTGATAATTGTACATGCAACGCATATGCTACACAAATATTCCATATCCATTCACTCGCACAACATTCTCGTCTAATTTTACATCTCAATTTTGTACTAAAATATTTCAATTTTCTATGCGGGATGCCTCAATTATTTCTAATTATTAATCTTCCATCTCCTTTGTCTGAGAGCATTAATGTGATTTTTAAGACTAGCTTGTTTAAGAGAAATTTCTTTTTCTTACCATTTGATTAAATAAAATTGTTAATCCACTTAAGTATTGTTGGTGTTGCTGCTGTTATAAATTCTATGCACAGTGCAGTCTCAAGTTTAATTTATGACTCTTTTTTCGCGCTCTCTTTCTTTCCACAGCTACTAATACTCACTACTTATAATATTATTAAAAATGACTATTAAAATATTGTCTGTGTAGCTAATGCTTGTATTTTTATTATTACTATTATTATAGCTACGCGAACAACAGCAGCAGTGAACGAAAATTCCAATAACAAGCAGTGCCAGTGAAAGAGAAATTAAATTGAATTGCCGGCTTGATGATAATTTAACAGTAATTTATATATGAAAGTATAAACTGAATAGTTTTCGAGAGATGCAAGGAGATTTTCGTAATTATACAGCATAAGAAATGAAACGTGATGCTGATAATTGAAAGTCTCACGATTGAATGATAAAGTAATTATTCTTAAACAATTTGCATGAACGTGTCAATGTTGCAATTCTAACTTATAATAATTCTTACAATTATGGGAAATATTTGCAAGAAAATTACTTAAGATGATTGCTTACTAGAGGTGTTGAGGGAAATAATGATGTCTTGAGATTTTTAGAATTGCATTATTATGTTGGCAATTTGATGCTGAATTTCTTCTGAAATAAGAAAATGCGATAATAACTTATCTTTGTGCTGTATAAAGTATAACTGTGATGCGGAAGATTCTTTATACAGCTCATTTTGTTAATTGGGTTCATTCCCTTATGATGTCAATTTTAAACAAGGAAGACCAGTCTGAGTTTATATAATTTTTCATAAAGGCGATCACTAATTGCATGTTTGATAAGTGACATGAGTGAATAGTCTTACACAATGAGAAAGTGTCCATAATTTGTTCAAGGAGAGGGGTTACGATTTCTATGATGGAATCGGTTCTTTACCAGTGAAGCATTTAGAGCCTTATCTATGGGTTACGGCTCTATCGTAAACATTAAAGTACGACCAACCTAATTTTCTATCAAATTCTCCAAAAAAATCTAATTACAAAACTCAACAACCAAAAATGCCTCAATCAATTACAAAGCATGCACTTATTTTGGAAACTTTTTCATCAAGCGTGCCTCTTGAAAATTCTTTATTTGATCTCAATTTTTTTTAAAAAGTTAATTTTATCGCTTCTTAGAAATTTAATCAAAGCGTGAATGAGTACGAAGAGAATGCTGGAGGTGTTTTCAAACAAATTTGATCACCTACTTGTGCCTGCTACTTTAGGTGATGAATTTAATCTTGAATAAATCTAGATTAAAACACGTGCTTAATGTTTAATTATATTGAATTCTTATTTATTTGGCATAATTTAACAAGTTTCTAATTTACAGTAATTTAATTAAGCGATTCCAGTAAAATTCAAATGGAACCAAATATATTTGTTGATAATAAATGCCAAAAGTATCACTGCTGCACTAATCTTCTTGCTAGTTCCACACACATTACTATGAACATACATCAAAGATATCAAGAAATAACATACGACCAAAAATAGATGAACAACTCTGTTGACTTCAGAAATATTTTCATTCCAAATGATGATCGGCAGAAAAAAGAACTTTGCAACTGATGCAAGCATATATCCATGAAATAAATCCAGTGTTAAGCTTCGATTTGCATAAAGAATCCCAGCCGTCCACATTGATATTACACGAATAATGATGAATAATGACAAATTTGACAGAACAATTTGTAGAGTTGACAAATAAAATCCTTTTTCCATAAACAGCGGATCCTTCATGGAATCATTTATAGCATAATGATTCTTTTTAGTTTGTGACAGCTCATTCCATAAGAAATAACTCTCAACTATTGTAATAATCATTAAAATCTTATATAAACTTTTACAACTTGAATTATAAAGGATGTGCCGCTGAACATTTGTTGACAATAGAATTAAATTAATAATTATGTATAAGTTGTCATATTCGATGAATGGATCAGCTAGATGTCGACAATTCTTGCAGTCTGTAAGTTTCTGAACTGTCGGACTGTAGACATGATAAAGTTCTTTTACTGGATAGCCACAATTTACACAACAGTATGTTAGTTCTTCTGCTTTAGTTTTCGTACTTAATGTTTTGATTTTTGACTTAAGAAGTTCCATTTTTTGTGTTCTTTGGAATCAGAGCTGTTGTTTTATTTGATTATTCCTGACTTACAGTTTTAAAGATGCTTAGTTTTTAGGTTCTGAGTCAAATTATATCAAATTTACGTTTTTACATAAAATATCTTAATGTCTTCAAAAAAAAACTCAATTCATATCAATACTTCGTTGCATATTTAAACGGCTTTATGTGCCTTATTGATATTCTTCACTCAATAATATTATTTTAACCTTAGAGCAATTTATTTTTATAATATATGACTCCTTTAATTTGTATACAAAAAATTGTAAACAGTTGTCCTATGAAAATACCCAACAGACTCTATTATATCCCCCAAATGTCGGTGATCTTCTTTCTAGGTAATAAACTCTTCTGGATAATATAGAAAGGCAATTATAAAAACAATCACAAAAGTAAATAAACAGATCTACTCATTTAAAAATAATAAATGCACAATGAGTATGTGCCGGGTGTGCTTGCATGAAGGCAAGGCAGAAGCTATAGCAATTATTGAAATATTTAACAATCGATCAGTAGCAGAAATTGTCAATTTTTGTGCTGGAATTGAGGTGAATTTTTGCAAACAAAAGAAAATTGAAAATATATATTTTGAGGTCTAGGATTTGCATTAGAGTCAACTGATATGATTGATTAAAGTAGGATTGTGATTGAAGATATGGCTCGAAGAGCATTTGAAGAGTAGATAGGCCTGAGCATAGGGCTCGCATTGAAACTAGTTGTATGCTTATGACGGATAGCTGAATTGAGATGATTACCTCGGTGGCAGGGATCTCTGATCGAGTGGTCATAGATCACCTCTTTTGAGGTCGCGGGTTCGATTCCCATCAAATTTGACTTTTTTTACATTAGTATATACACATACGACACTTATAGGAAGATATTTACAGTGATAATTAACCATATATCAATTATTGATCTCAGACTTGATGTTCTTTATTTAAATATTAAGAGATTCAAACTAATTTAACATCTATAATTTGTTTTAGATATCCACTCAAGACAGTCTTCCTCAAACAGTCTGTTCGCAATGTCTAGAATCACTAATCTTAGCCTGTAATATAAAAGAAATGTGCATTAATTCAGACATAATTTTGAAACAGCAAATTAAGTCAATTAAGGATGAAGAATTATTAAATTCTGAATTGAAATGTGAAGCTAGACTTAATTTTGATTCCAATATATTTAATGATGATTGTGATAGAATTGGAACTGATTTTAAATCCAAAAGTTTTCATCAAGAACAAAAACTAGTTTCAAATGAAACTGAAATCAAAGAACTTTCAGTATATAAATTTCAAAAACAAAGCGATTTTTCACATCTAGAAAAAAAATCAACTCCCACCAAGAAGTCAAGGTCCATTCATAAAAGAGAACCCCAACTGCCATTCAAATGCTACCTTTGTGAATTAGAATTTAGATACAGAAAAGACAAATTCGAGCATCTTGAGCTATTCCATACAACAGATGAACTAAAATGCAAATTATGCAAGCACAAATCACAGACTGCTAGAGGATTAGACAATCATCTAATGGTCCACGAGAATCCTGACTTGTTATTTCACATGTGCCATATTTGTGGAAAGAAAAATTATCAAAAAGCTTGTGAGCTAAGACGTCACATTAAATTAGCTCATGGCGACAAGACAAAACGTTTAATTAATTTTTATTGTGATAATTGTGATTTTAAAACATTCTCAAAGATGAATATGAAGCGACATTTGAGTACGATTCATTTAAAAATTAAAGCTTATGGATGCCAATTCTGTCCTGATAAGAAATATACATCAAAAATTACACTTGATCAGCACATGATATCCAAACATGGTCAGGAAACGGAATTCATTTGTCAGTGCTGTAAAAGAAAATTTCCAACAATGTCATTTTTAAGAAGTCATTTAAAATCGACATGTTCTGGAAGTCCTGGCTCTGTAAGAGAACGTGCTGATCCTAATGCATATAGAGAGCCTTTATATGATGAATTAGATCATTATAGATGTAAACTTTGTGGATTGGTTTTCGAAGGAAAAGGCAAAATTTCTCAGCACTATGCACAGAGGCACAAACATAATAATTCTTGTAATTTATGTGCTGCAACCTTTAATAGCTACTCAAATTTAAAGAAACATATCCAAATACTTCATAATAAAATTCATAAATACAACTGTAGTTATTGTACAAGATCGTTTGGACAGAAGAATCAACTGCAGTCTCATATGTGAGTAGTTTGTGTTGAGTATTGAGTTCTTTAATTGTTAAAATCATTTCGTACTTTCTTACAGAAATACTCATACAGGAGACAAGTAAGTGTTCAATGAAAAATTGTCTTAGCCAGAGGAAGCACATGATGAGTCCTCCTCCTCTTGTTATGCAATTATTGTGCAATCTACGATTGTAATTAAAGCTTAATTTTCTTACAAAAATTAATTACAGACCATTCCAGTGTAAATTTGACTGTTGTGACTTTAGAAGTGGCGATTTATCAGCTGTAAGCAAGCATCAGAAAAAATGTGGAAATAATCCTGCCAATAAATATTAAAATTATATTGAAGAAAATTAAAAGAATTGTTTTTATCTCCTTAACGGGACATAAGTTTAGTCAAAAATATCAATTCCATTTAAAATGCTTCCAATCAGCAGCATTTCATTACAATCCATTCCATCGAAAATTAGCCAACCTTGAATGTTTTTCCAGCAGTACGGAAAATGTTATCTGCTACAAGAAAATTCTAGCAACTGAAATAAATTTCTTTATCTTGTGTCTGAGATTATTTGAGACACTTTGTTGGTGTGCTGTGTATCCTGACTGACAAAAATTGAAAATTCTGTGTCGGTTGAGATTTTTCCAGCATAAAAAATAGCTGGAAAATTTTATTATATGGAACATTATATGTTACTGGGTCACAAGGTCTTTGGTGCGTAGTTGGGGCGAGAGTGGGGGACTGAGAGAATCCATTAGTTTTCTCGAAGCTTAAATTTGTAATTCAATGATTAAAAAAAATCACTAGAATCAATAAAAGGGCAACACTAAGTATGGAGCTACCAAAAAAATTGGATTTTTTCCGGCTCTTGCTAATTTCAAATAAACCAAAAAAAAAACTAAGTTATGCAGCATAAGAAATAAAATTAATTAACATTTTGTGTCAAAAATTAAGTTAAGATGTGTTCGATATTTCCCATTGTTGGTGTCTTCTTACCTTTGTTACCCTTGATTGCCTGAATTTTATATCCAGATCTTCAAAATCTTTAAAAACCAAGCTATTAAAAATTAATAATAATAAAACCTTAATATACAAAGAATAATGCAAAACAAGAAACAGCAAGAAGCTACATAGCTTTGTACTTTAACCCATAATTACAGCCACAACCACAATCAATCTCAGTCACATTAAATAGCAAATATCTTTAAAATCTCGCACGATAATTACCAAATATTATGTCACATTCCGCTCATCACAGTTTTCGCTCAAGGCTGAAACATAATTTTAATTAAATTAAAATCTAAGTCTTTTTGCTCTTATGCTTATAATAAATTAAAGCTCATCAAAGATAAGGAAAGAATAAAAAATAAATAAATTTTGTCACTTCTTTTCGTCATATTTGTTCACACATGCTGTTTCATAGCTCAAAAATAAACTTCACATTAAATGAAAATTCATTTGAGTCAGCATAAAAAGCTTCAGAGGAAGGGAAAAAAGTCAAAAAGTAGAAACAAATATAAATTGAATCAATAAAGTATTCATCAAGTTGAAAATAGCTTTGCGAAACTTGAAATTGATTTAATAGAGAATGGTGAAGAAATATTGTTGAGGGGTTGAGTACCAAGAGTGAATGGAACATGATAAAGTTTAAAGCTGACTAGACTGATGAGTTAAATGAAATTTATTGATTTTAAATCTCAACAATTTTTATTTGGCTTTTTTATTGATTCTTGGAATTTTATGAAATAAATTGTTGCATCAATCAGCATTGACAGAGTTTAAGAGCATTACAAAATTGGGTTTGTACGGTTTCATTCGAATAAAGCTTTGATGTTTTTCATGTGTACAATAAAGGGGAATTTTTGTATGGCATCATCGGTTTTAAAAATAGCAAATTAATAATTTATTAAATTTTCATAGAACTTTTGGAAATACAAACTAAAGCTGGTCTAGTTTGTCACAATCCAAAACTGTTTCAGGCTCAAAAATTAAAAAACCTATTAAAACTCATCTCAAATTTCAATTTCCAAAATTAGTCATCTCTATGTCTTCGATGAAACTTCATCGTCATTTGATCTAGAAGTTTTTGAACTTTTTAAAAGCTAGTACTGAAATTTCAATAATAAATTGAGTTTACAAAGTTTTTTAATTTTAATCAAGTGTTTTGAATTGACAAAATATTAATAGCTTGAAGTCTACAGATGATGTCTAGATGAGGAAGAAGATTGTGCGTGAATATGACAATATAATTAAGTTTTTGTTTTTTTATATCAGTGATGGTCGACCCATGTGTCGCGGCACACTAGTGTGATTCAAGATATCCCACAAACCAGATGTTGTGTGCAGTTTTGGTTATGACTTAATCTAAAGGTGTGTCTTGGCTCAAAAAAGGTTGACCACCACTGCTTTATATACATTTTGTTGAATATTTCAAAAATTTTGTAAAGGTTTTGTAGCTTTTGAAAGTTCGTTAAAACTAGAATTAAATTGCACAAGTTGATTTGGAACTTCTGACTTATTTGTGTATAAATTATTGACTATAGTCGACCGTCCCTCATGATAAAGCTTTCAAAAGGTTCTCTGAAATTAAAAAAATTCCAAACTCTATCAAAACCCCCTGAAAAAAAAGTTTTTATTTCAAATCATTATGAAATATAAATTAAACAATTAAAATCAATTTTCAAGAAAGAAAACACGCAAAAAATAAACAACAGAACACAAAAATCATTCGACAGCACGAGATCTCAAATAGGAAGCAGAACATTAACATTGAAAAATACATTTCGAAAGCAATTATAATGAAATAAATATTCAGAAGCATTTTAAATATTAAAATTTTGGAAATTTTCTGTTCATTTTAATAATAATAATATTCCTCAAGACGAAACGAACTGAGAAATCGAGCAAAAAGTTTATTCCTGAAATAACAAGACTCTCCTTTCGAAGGCTAACGCTTGCTTCCGTTGTATGAAAAAATATAAATACATACTAAATGAGTGCCATTTATGGAATGAGACATTGAGATTCTAGGTTTCAAACAGGATGAAATGGAAATAGAAGTGAGAGCCTCAGATATAAAAAAAAATCTCTCTTCACAGTACATTAAACGGTGAATTTAGTATTATTATTTGTATTATGTTATTTTTTCCTCTACTTTATTCACCCATTCTTTCATTAACTACATAAACATTTTGTTTTGAGCGATTTTTCATGGGAGATGGAGGGGATTGTTTTTTATGGGACAATATGTCTTAATGTCTGGATCATTGATCAGGGGTTATTTTTGAAATTTAAATCAGGAGAGTTTGGGACTATCAAATCCCTGATTTGAGACTGATTATCCCTAAGATGGTTCTAGTTCAAACAGCTTAACAATTAATTAAATTAGTAGGTTTTGGGGGTTTTGTTGTTGATATTATGTAAGATCTAGAAGCATTTATAGCTTAGAGTATCGAACAATGTGTATGCGAACCTGCCAGTATGGGAAATAAGCCTCTGTGATCGAATGAATAGGCATCGGACTGGAAACTTGTAATACTGTCATTTATTAAGACTTTGGTTCGATTCTCAAAAGCAAAACTCTCTTAACTGTGTGAGATTCATGGGTTGAAAAATAAGGCATAAATTAAGCAATAAAAATCGTCAAAAATTAGACCGGTCACATGAACCACAATCAGTCTATTAACTGTATAAAAACATGAATAGGATTCGCTATAAGATTCCCCCCACCCCACTCCTTTCTCATTCAAATTGTTTTTTAAAAAACACATGCATAGATTTAAAATAACTCTTCAGATAGCTCATTTATAACCTAAAATGCAAGATAAGGAGGTCTAAAGCATCAAAACTTTTCTATAGATCTTTTGTGAAAAAAGTTTGGACTAATAACAGGTGAACGGATCTTTGTTTTAGTTTAAATCTTTAGCAAAATTTATTACATACTTCCTGAATTAACAAATGCAAAAATGCTCTCATGTCTTCAATTAACCTTTTTTTCCTACCATTTTTATTCACATAACATAAACAAACTCCTTCCACGCCACATTGTACACTGTATATACATATTCCAATCTGAGATCCTGGAAAAAATTGTTCATCACATTTTATTATTGTTTTTTTTTTTTTGGTAGTCTTCACGATAACATGAGAGAATATAGACACCGAGGAATGGGTTAAATGATGCATCATTAAGAAATATCATAATAAACATTTTCATAAGTAAAGCACAGTGAAATTTTATTTTTATGAACAGTAGAGAAGAAAATGGCACGTCTTGAAAATTCTTCTATCTCTTTTTGATGTGTCTGGACGTGTTGAAAAAGAGACACCAACAAAAATAAAGAATATTTGTGTACATAAGGAAAAATATGAAGAGATGAAGCTCAACAGATAAATATTGTCATTATGTCCTGTCGTGATTCGCTTATGTTTAGCATTCGTCCTTACTCTACAGTTTTTTTATTTGTTTGACTTTCGCCAACAAGCATCAAAAATGCTCGGTCATAAAAAATATCTAAGAAGAGGGGAGGATGTTAAGCTGTCTAGAGTTATGGAAAGAGTAATCGAGAAAATGAAGAAATGAGCATAAAATAGGATTTTTTTTTTAAATTTTTAAATTAAAGAGATGAGATATTTTGTAGTTTTGTTGAACTAGATATTAGTTGTGCTTTGAAGGAATACTAACCTACTCCCTTGGCTGAGGTGATCGTTGGCTAATAGCAACGTTTAGATCAGAGTTGAAATCACTCACATGTCAACGAAAACAACCCACGTGTCACAGGCTGCCACCTGTGCCTTTGATAGATAAGATACCTGTTCTCGCAACTCTGGTTTAGAGATTGCCTAAAGACAGCTCTATTCTTGGAAACCTTCTACCAGTTTTAATTTTGAGGCATTATAAAGAGATTTTATGACAATAAAAGTGGTCGTCCGCAATTGATGTTCAGCATTTGGAGTTTGGAGCACAGGTTTCAAATCGTATAAGTTTTGGGGTTCAACTCCTTCAAACATCACGTCTACGCCACAGTCATTAGTTTACTAGACTTTGTTCTAGCATGACTCAATTGTCGACACTCTAGCTTAAATCGTATGAAAAATTGCATTCGAAAGCTGAACAAATTAATTAAAAGCATTTTAAAGTATTTCAAAAACTCCTTAACTGCTGCTGAGCTGTTCCATGTAATTTACACAGCAAGTTTGAAGAGGCAAACCTTAAATTGTAATTACATTATGATTGACATGAAAAAAAAATTTTTTCAACCACAACATCAACACTATGAATGAAATATGAAATTATTAAACAGCTTTCATAGCACTTTGTGTGATTTACTTTGAAAAGTGCTGCAAATTTCAACATTAATA